ACTCCTGCTCATTGACTTCTCCATCTCCATCACGATCAGCTTCATCGATCATTTCCTGCAGGACAATAAGGATTCAGCTTAGATTCATTCATAAACTAAACTCAAATATGACTGGACAATAGTCTTTCTAACATCACATGAATAGATAGTTGTGGTCCACCCAATGCAAATGTGCACTTTTTGTAACAGCCTGGTTCCCAAAAAGTGATTTGAAAATCAAGCAATGCTTTGTCTCACACACACACACATATCATTGAGAAGGGAACCTGAAGATCACCCTGACCACTGGGATTCCTAAAACTTAAAATAGTAAGTAAAATTGTACAAGTGTTGGGACCCCTGGGGGCTCAGCAGTTGAGCGTCTGCCTTAGGCTCAGGGCCTGATCCCAGGATCCTCCTTGCAAGGAGCCTGCTTCTTCCTCTGCCTGTGTCTCTGCCTGCCTCTCTCTCTCTCTTTCTCTCTCTCTCTGTGTCTCTCATGAATAAATAAATAAATATTTTTAAAAATTGTACAAGTGTCCATTTTTCTGGGAGCAGGGCCCGTAGGTTTGTCATGCTATCAAAGGGGAAATAAAGTGGTCAACAGAGGGACAAGAGAACGCTACGTTTCCTTCAAAGTGGGGCTCACATTGGAGAAAATATAACTCAGAAAAGTCATACAGGGGCTCTGATCAGGAATTGAGTTCCAATATGATGCTTCACAAACCTGCAGCTCCTCGTCAGTGAGGTTCTCACCCAACTCTTTGGCCACACGTTTTAGATTTTTGAATGATATCTTCCCAGTTTCATCATCATCGAAGAGCTTGAAAGCTTTCAGAATTTCTTCTTTGGTATCTTTCTCAGACTTAACAAGTAAAGAGAAAACACAGGAGCAGTTACTCATGCAGCAGCCACAGTAGCACCTAACCCCTCTACGTGGTCTTGATGATGGCCTTTATGACAGGAGATCAAACATCATCCAGGGTAGAAGAGGACAAACTCAGTGACATTATTATCAACACGGAGGCTAAAAAGGAAATATAAAAGAGTGACTTAAAACATTCTTTCTGTACAAACCAAAGAGAAAAAGGAGTAGAGGGTAGAGTTAAAGCTAGGGGAAATATACTGCTTAAGCTGGTGGAAGAGGGATCCTCTTGGAGGGGGTAGGGAGACACAGGGAGGAAAGAGAGGGCATTTAACTTGTTATGAGATCACAGAGAGTTACTGGGATCCCAGGTACTCTGAAAGAGGAAGAGAGGAAATCTCCAAGAACTCAAACTCCAGGAATTCCTGAAAGGAAGCTGAAGATAGAAAGAACCCCTCTGAAACTGAGTGGGGAAATATTAGGAAGACACACCATGAGAGACTCCTAACTCTGGGAAACAAAGAAAGGGTTGCAGAAGGGGTGGAGGGTAGGGAGATGAGGAAACTGGGTGACAGGCACTGAGGAGGGTATGTGATGGGATGAGCACTGGGTGTTATACTATATGTTGGCAAATTGAATTCAAATAAAATATTTAAAAAAAAAGAACTCTAAGCAGAGCAATTTGGGAACCCACCTTCAATGTGGGATGGCTTTACTAGGTAGTTACAGAACATTAGGCTTCCTGATCTCTTAAATTAATACAGACAAAAAATATAGAGGTATGATTAGATGTTTTCTAAGCTAAAGAATCATCAGAGTAGGCATAGACCTGTGACCTGAGACACACAAGGAGTTACTTTTCCACAGGCCAGTTGAGCACAGACAAGCCACACAAAAGAGGAGCCAAAAAGCCATCAAAAAAGTAATGGCCCAAGGGGAACATAAACATACATCCTGGGTGGGAGGACACTCAGGGGAGTGGGGTGGATTGTTCAAGTGACATATTATAGTCTTTCTTGATCCTCTGGATCCTTTAAAATGGGGACACATGGGCAGCCCCGGTGGCTCAGTGGTTTAGCGCTGCCTTCAGCCCAGGGCCTGATCCTGGAGACCCAGGATCGAGTCCCGCATCAGGCTCCCTGCATGGAGCCTGCTTCTCCCTCTGTCTGTGTCTCTGCCTCTCTCTCTCTCTCTCTCTCTCTCTCTGTGTCTGTGTGTGTGTGTGTATCTCATGAATAAATAAATAAAATATTAAAAAAAATAAAATGGGGACAAGTGAGGCACTAGGGAATGGGTGACTTCAACCTTGAAAGTGCTGAAAGGATGCAGTGAAATGCCGGGACACCTGCACCCCGATGTTTACAGCAGCAATGCCCACAATAGCCACACTGTGGAAGGAGCCTCGGTGTCCATCGACAGACGATGGTAGAGAAGCTGTGGTCTATGTATACAATGGAATATTCCTCAGCCATTAGAAACGACAAATACCCACCATTTGCTTCAACATGGATGGAACTGGAGGGTATTATGCTGAGTGAAATAAGTCAATCAGAGAAGGACAAACGTTATATGGTCTCATTCACTTGGGGAATATAAAAGTCAACAAAAGGGAATAAAGGGAAAGGAGAGAAAATGAGTGAAAATATCAGTGAGGGTGACAAAACATGAGAGACACCTAATTCTGGGAAATGAACAGGGGTAGTGGAAGGGGACGTAGGCGGGGGGTTGGGGTGACTGGGTGATGGGCACTGGGGGGGGCACTTGGCGGGATGAGCACTGGGTGTTATACTATATGTTGGCAAATCGAACTCCAAAAAATAAAAATAAAAAAATAAAAAATAAAATCAGAAAAAAAGAAAAAAAATGAAAGTGCTGAAAGGCCAAATTCCCAGTGTAGTAGAAAACACAGCTGTCAGAAGTCACCTGCCCTCAGGCTAGAGCCGCCCAGAATCAGAAACGAGAGAGAAAAGAATTTTGACCTTTAAAGTATAGGCATTTCATCTTGGCAGGCAGTGCAATATTGCTGGTGTTTACAGGTTTTACTGCTTGTGGTTAGCACGTTAACACATCACTTGGAAAAAAATAATCACAAAAGAGTGACAGCAGCAGATCTCTTACTCGAAGGGTAAACTGACTTTTCCTGTGATTCTGTGGCCTTGAAGAGAGCCAGACAGAACCTAAGCATCCTGTCAGTCATAAGAACTGCCCTTTTTCAGCAGAACTCTCCAGTTGGTATTAACCTTTCTTCAGTGAAGACATTTTTATATCTAGATTCAAATTTGTTCACCAATATGGGTGGAAAATAGGCTGATTATCCTAGTAACTTACCATTTTCTGAGTCATCACAGTCAAGAAGTCACTAAAGTTCATTTTTCCTGTCCCTTCCTTATCGATTTCACTTATCATTTTTTTGATCTCTTCTTTTTTGGGTTCAAAGCCCAGTGCCCTCATTGCCACCTACAATGAAAACAGGATCATGTCAATATGCACATCAAAACCTGGCAGGAACAAAAATGACAGCGAGAGCATGAGGCCAGCATCTGACACAATCATGTTAAAATGACTGGGAAACACTATAGCGTTATGCAGATTGATATATGTGCTCAATTTTATTTTATAACACTTCAGGTAAATAAAGACAGGAGAATAGAAAAACAGGAAAACTTTTTGCAGGGAGAAGAGGGCAAAAGGGGTAGAGCAGTAACAAGGAAAGAAGAGAAAGAAGTAGAGGAAAGCAAGGCAGTACAGTGGGAATGTAAAGGGCTTGCCTTAAGTTCCTTTACGTCTATGGTCCCAGTTCCATCAGCATCAAAGAGATCAAAAGCTTCCCGGATTTCCTGTTTCTGCTCTTCAGTCAGCTCCGGCTTAGGACTCATCCTTTTTCGTTGGGCAGATGATGCCATGCTTGCCTTCTTAAAGTTAGAGGCCTTTAGGTGTTTTACAAACACAGAAGTACGATATTAAGTGATGCAATCCATATTTTACATAAAATAGTTACAAATATTTACATAAAATATTTACACCAAGCAATTCCACAGCTTTGCTTAATAGGAGAGATAACAGGGCTTTACTGGAAACAATGAATCTTTCCGTGCACCGCTATCCCTCCTTCTTTTTTCCTGTTCTTTGTAGAAGCAAGGAGATCCCGTGTTCCTTTGCACATCTCTTATTGAAAATCATCCCCAAAGAGATCCAGCCAGGGAGCTGACTGTGGATAACTGTACAGATGATCGGCTGTCCTTGAATTTGGCGATCCTAATTCGAGAAAAGCCCTTACAACATTGGCTCGCAGTATTCCTCCTCTCTGTACTCCAACTTTGCGATTACTTCTACATTTGGCCCAATATTACTACTTTGCTAAGGTGTATAATAAAATTCCATCCACTCGGCAGGTCTGTGCCTACTTTAATTAGATCAAAACGTCTCCCGAAAGATCCCTGTATTTATTCAGAATGCACGTTAACAATCAAACATAAAAAACCTCCTCCCAGGTCTGTGGGTAAACTTTGGTAGCACGAAGCGACCAGGAGGTCAGGGTCTGAGAGGTCAGGGCCTGCGGGTAACCCGAGTATTCTTTGACCAGGGGCAGTCACGCGGGGGCTGGCAGGGGAAGGCCACGCGCGCCCGAGGGATGGGTGGGCGCAGACTGAACGAAGGGGAGGCGGCGCAGGGCCGCAGGCCCAGGTGGCGGCCGACGTCTCTACCCTACCCTTCCGGGAACGAGCCGAGAGGAAGTAGGCGCACTCCAAAGCCGAGAGCGGCGCGGGAGCGACGGCAGGGCCACACGAAGCCAGAGAAGGGCTCAGCCCCTGGCCGCGGGGCACCAAAGGGCGGCCCCCACTCACCATTGCCGATGGACTCCGCGGCCCGTTGTTACGGCAACCGACGTACACACTGACTCGGCGCCGTTCCCACCGCCCCGCGCGCGCGGCTCCGCTCCCCATTGGCAGCCCGCTCGCCGCCGCTGCTCCCCATTGGCGGGGAGCCGTGGTGGGTGGGGCTAAGGGGACAAAGGCCAGGCCCAGGGCAAGGGGGCTGTGCTTTCACAGCCGAGGCCTGGCCTCATTGGACAGAATCACATTATGAGCGCCGATTGGCTGAGCCGGCGCCGAGCTGAGCCAATCCCCTTGGCGGAGGCAGCTCGGCCGATCCTCGGCTCATGCGGGTGGGGAGAAAAGGGTGACCGCCAGCGGCCCGGGGCCTTTGGGTGCAAGCTGAGGGCGCGCTGAGGCTGGCCGGGGGGTCGCCTACGGACGGGTAAGGGTCACGACCTCACCCTCGGAGGCTGCCTTCTATCCGCTACTGGGTGGGAGGGTAGGGGGCTGGGTGGGGCCTTCCGGTTGGGGGCTTTCTAGTCTGGCTTAAGACTGAATTTGGAAAGAGGGGCCAGAGAAGACCGTGACCTTGAGGGTCAGAGCAGAGACTGCTCAAGGGACAGCAGAGCCAGAGAAGGGAATGGGAGTGTCGAGGAGGTGTGGACAGCTGCGACTTAGAAACCGAATCCAGCCGAGGCTCTCCCTTTGAGGGGGAGTTTTGAGGGAGTGAAACAGATACGACTGAGCATGAGGGGACAGGTCATCAAAATGTACTTTTTGACACCCACTCGGGCGGAGACACTGGGCAAAGTCACACAAGAGTTTTGAAAGTGTGAGGGGTGCCTGGAGACTGTTCTTTTATAAAACTCTGTTAAATTTCTTTTGTTTTCTTTAATCATGATAAGTGCAGTCTTTATTCCCCATCACCGATGTAACGTATCCCCCCCCCCCCCCCGCCACCTCCCCTCTGGTCACCATCAGTGTGTTCTCTGTAGTTAAGAGTCTGTTTCTTGGTCGGCCTCTCTTCACCCCCCCCCCATGTTCATTTATTTTGTTTCTTAAATTCTACATATGAATGAAATCATACGGTATTTGTCTTTCTCTGACATTTCACTTGCCATAATATTCTCTAGCCCCATCCATGTCAATGCAAATGGCAAGGTTTCATTTCTTATGGCTGGATGGTATTCCCCACACACGCACACACATACACACACACCCCACATCTCCTTTATCCACTCATCTGTTGATGGACACTTGGGCTGCTTGCGGATCTCAGCTATCATGAACAATGCTGCTACAAACATCGGTGTGCATGGATCCCTTTGAATTTGTATTTGTGTTCTTTGAGTAAATACCCAGTAGTGCAATTACTGGATCATGAGAGGAGTTGTATTTTCAATTTTTTGTCGAACCTCCATACTGTTTTACGCAGTGGCTGCACAGGTTGCATTCGCAGCAACACCGGGAGACGGTTCCCCTTTCTCCGCATCCTTGCCAGCACCTGCTGTTTTTTGTGTTGTTGATTTTCGCCATTCTGGCAGCTGAGGGGATGTCTCATTGTAGTTTTTATTTGCATTCCCCCAGTGATGAGTGATGTTGAGCATCTTTTCATGTATCTGTTGGCCATCTGAATGTCTCCTTTGAAGAAATATATGTTTATGTCTTCAGCCAACTTTTTAATTAGTTTATTTGTTTTGGGGTGCTTACGTTGTATTAGTTCTTTATATATTTGTGGATACTAACCCTTTATCAGATACGTCATTTGCAAATATCTTCTCCCATTCTGTAGATTTCCTTTTAGTTTTATTGATTGTTTCCTTTGCTGTTTGTTGATTGTTTCTAGAAACTTGGTGTTTTGATGTAGTCTCGATAGTTTATTTTTGCTTTTGTTTCCCTTGCTTCAGGAGACATGTAGAAAAATGTTGCTATAGCTGAAGTCAGAAATATTACTGTTGGTGCTCTCTTCAAGGATTTTTGGGGTTTCAGGTCGGACATTTAGGTCTTTAATCCAAATTTTGAGTTTATTTTTCTACATAGTGTAAGAAGTGTGGTCCAGTTTCAATCTTTTGCATGAGGCTGTCCAGCTTTCCCAATAACATTTGTTGAAGAGACTTTTTCCCATTGAATATTTTTTCCTGCTTTCTCGAAGATCCACATAGTTGTGGGTTTATTTCTGGGTTTTCTATTCTGTTTTATGGATCTCTGTGTCTATTTTTTGTAAGTACCATACTGTTTTAATTACTACTGCTTTGTAATATAATTTGAAATCTGAGATTGTGATACCTTCAATTTTGTTTTTCTTTTTCAAGATTACTGTGGCTATTCGAGGTCTTTCATGGTTCCATAAAAATTTTAGGGTTGTTCTAGCTCTGTGAAAAATGCCTTTGGTATTTTGATAGGGATTGCATTAAATGTGTAGATTGCTTTTGGGTAGTATGGACATTTTAACAATATTTGCTCCTCCTACCCACAAGAATGGAATGTCTTTCCAGTCTTTGCATCATCTTGAATTTCTTTCATCACTGTTTTATAGTTTTTAGAATACAGCTCTTTCACCTTTTTGGCTAAGTATATTCCTAGATATTGTGTTGTTTTGGTGCAGTTGTAGATAGGATTGTTTTATTAATTTCACTTTCTGCTGCTTCATTATTAGTGTGTAGGAATGCAGCAGATAGTTTTGTACATTAATATTGTATCCTGCGACTTTACTAATTTCATTTATCAGGTTTTTTTGTGGACTCTTTAGGGTTTTCTATATATAGTATCCTGTCATCTGCAAATAGTGAGAATTTTACTTCTTTACCAGTTTGGATGTCTATTATTTATATATGTTATCTAATTGCTGTGACTAGGATTTCTAGTAGTATCTTGAATAAAGTGGTGAGACTGGACATCCTTGTCTTCTTGCTCCTGACCTTAGGGGAAAAGCTCTCTGTTTTTCCCTATTTAGTGTGATCTTAGCTGTGGGCTTTCCATACAAGGCCCTTATTACATTGAGATATGTTCTCTCAAGACATACTTTGTTGAGGGTTTTTATCATGAACGGGTGTTGTACTTTGTCAAATGCTTTTTCTACATCTATTGAGATAATCATACGGTTTTTATCCTTTCTCTTTTTTTAAGATTTTATTGATTTATTCATGAAAGGCAGAGAGAAAGGCAGAGACACAGGCAGAGGGAGAAGCAGGCTCCCTGCAGGGAGGCTGATGCGGGACTCGATCCCAGGACCCCGGGATCACAACCTGAGCCAAAGGCAGATGCTCCACCACTGAGCACCCAGGTGCCCCTATCCTTTCTCTTACTGATGTGATATATCACATTCATTGACCTGCAAATATGGAACCACTCTTGCCTCCCAGGAATAAATCCCACTTGATCGTGGTGTATTTTTTTTTAATGTATTGTTCGATTCCGTTTGCTAAGGTTTTGTTGAGGATTTTTTGCATCTATATTTGTAAGAGATGTTGGCCTGTGGTTCTCTTTCTCTGGTGTCATCTGGTTTTGGTATCAGGGTGATACTGACTTCATAGGATGAATTTGGGGTTTTCCTTCCTCTTGTAGTTTTTGGAATAACTTGAGAAGAATAGGTAGCATTTGCCAGTGAAGCCATTGGGTCCTGGACTTTAGTTTGTTGGGAGTTTTTTTTATTACTGATCCAATTTCATTGCTGGTGATTGGTCTGTTCCAATTTTCTAATTCTCCCTGCTTTAGTTTTGGTAGGTTATATGCTTCTAGGAATTTATCCATTTCTTCTGACTTGTCCAGTTTGTTGGCATATAGGCTGTCATAATATTCTGTTACAGTTGTTGGTATTTCTCTGGCGTTGGTTGTTATTTCTCTTTCGTTAGTTGTTTTGCTTATTTGGGGTCTCTGTATCTCTCTCTCTCTCTTTTTTTTTTTTTTTGATGAGTCTTGCCAGAGGTTTATCAGTTTTGTCAATTTTTTTTCGAAGAACCAGCTGGTGGTTTCATGTATGCTTGGCTGAGAAAGGCCTGAACTATATTAGCGTCCATTAAGTGAAAGTGTTCGCTGACCTTCTGCCCTTTATCTAACCCTAACCCTTCCTCTTACAGCATGAACCAGGTCCACAACTGCTCAGTCATATTTGGCTCTTTCCTGTCCCTCCCATTACCCACCCTCCAAGTTCCCACAATTCTCCCACTCAGGTACCATTCCTTTTCTCTTGGCCACCTCTGCTGCTCCTCTTCCAGCTCAGGCCTTTGTCGGCAGCCCCCCAACTACCTACGGGCCAGAGTTCTCCCTGTGGTCTGCAAGGCCTGGCAGGACGAGGCCCCTCCTTTCCCCAGGCTCCGCCAGCTGGGAGACAAGGCTCCTTGCTGGGCCTCAAGCCCTCCAGCACACTCCAACCTAGGAATGTTTGCTCCAGCCGCCCCCTCTGCCTGCTTGCTCCTCTCCTCTCCTCTCCCTCCCCTAGGTCTTCGCTCTGCTGTCACCTTCTCTGAACCACCCTAAGCACCTGATTCAGCACCATAGCCCCCAGCATGCTGGAGTCCTGTAGCTTGCTCTGCTGTTTTCCCGTGGTACTTACTTATTTTCTTGTTACTCATCCACTAGCAGGTAACCTCTATGAGGGCAGGCATCTTCGTTTTGTTCAGTGCTGGGCCTCCAGTACCTGGAACGGTGAGGGGCATGTAGTAGGTGCTCAGTAAGGCTTCATGGAATGACTGCTGAACTATCTCCCTGTGCCTGCCTCTCACCTGTCTAGTCTACCCACTTCACCAGGTTGATCTTGCTGGTAAACAGCTCTGGTCAGGTCACCCTCCCCTGCCCTTAAACCTTCAGAGGCTTCCTGTGACCCCTCAATAAAGTCCAGACTCAGCCTGGCACCTGAGCCTCCTGCGCAGTTTTGTGTCTGCTGGTCTCTACTCATCGAGTCTCTCCACAGCCTGTTTCCCAGTCAGTGTGTGGCGTGGCAGCCTGGCAGAGTGGAAGGAACAACCACAAGTCCAGCCTTGGCTGTGTAACATCTGCAGGACTGTCAGCAAGTCAGTTGACCTCTCTGAGCCTGAGTTTCTCCTTTGTTTTTTTTTTTTTATGATAGTCACAGAGAGAGAGAGAGAGAGAGAGAGAGAGAGGCAGAGACATAGGCAGAGGGAGAAGCAGGCTCCATGCACCGGGAGCCCGATGTGGGATTCGATCCAGGGTCTCCAGGATCGCGCCCTGGGCCAAAGGCAGGCGCCAAACCGCTGTGCCACCCAGGGATCCCGAGTTTCTCCTTTGTTGAGTGAGACCTCACTGGGTGCTTTGGGGAGCTTGATGGTCTCCTATGCTTAGATGTGAAGGGACCTGACCTTTAGCAGCTTTCCAAGCAGTATGATTTCTCTTCTCCAATGTGTTCTTTCCCCTGCCCGGCATGCCCAAAGACTCAGACTTGGGTAACATCCTTCCTCCACGCCGCAGCCAGAGTGATGCTTCTGCTCTTAACACTCACTCTGCTTACAACTTCCTGGGGCTCCCCCATCTCTTCTTAGTGTAACCCCTTAACCTGACACACAGTCCCTTCACATTCTTCTCTCTGCTCCCCATCTCACTCCACACTCGTTGTGACACAAGTTGTCACAGTTGCCAGAACGTGCTGCCTCTGTGTCATCCCCATGTCCTTCCCATCCCTGGCCGTGGAATGTCTTTTAGGATACCCAACCGCTGTGTTTGACCCACTCCTCCCTGGCCTCGAGAACTTGGCTCAGGGATCACCTCAGGCCAGCCTCCCTGCTCTGGGTTTACCTTCATCAGGGCTCAGAAGTGCTGCTGCAGTTCTCCACTAAGTCTGTCTCCATGGGTTGTGGTGGGCTCCCGCGAGGGTGGCACTGTGTCCTGTGCATTTTTGGCTTGGCCGCATTCGGTGAGTGAGTAACACCCAAGGGCTCCTTTACAAGTTGCAGCTTCCCTTTTGCCCTTGGGGCTTGTTTGAGGAACTCAACAAGGAGAAGGAAGATATTCCAGGTAGAGGGAACAGCACAAGCTAAAACTTGCAGGCCTGCTGATGGTTTTCTCAGGGGCCACCATGAACTCAAAGCCAGAGCCTTTCTGTATCCTAAAAATAGACAAGCATAGAGGCGAATGCCTAACAGAAACAACCAGATACCTTTTGCCTTGATTCCTGTTTGCCATTTTCTTGTGCACGCAGGCGTTGTCCATCCACAGACTAGAGTGATGAGCTTGTGGTTAGCCACATCTTAGTTTCTAGCACGGACTCCATGGAAGACAACTGTCAGGGCCCCAACTACCCCTGTGTACCCTAACACAACCCTTCTGAATTGCACTGCATTTCATCTTTACAAAGAAGCTGATCTCCCATAGAAAGACACTTGTCTTTCTATCCGGTTTGAAGCAGTCAGACTGTCCCTTCCTTCTGCCTCCAGGACTCAGTTTTTGGGGACTTGCCCCAGCAGGAAGGAGGAGATTGGGCTCATTTGGTCTCTTCCTAGATTTTTTTTTCTTAGTTTAAGGCTTTGTCCCTGTGTGTACGGAAGGCATACATACTGGTTTTTAATAGATTCAAAGACGTAACTTTGTAAAGGACAAAGACTTGAGGATTCTGGTACGTGAACCTTAACAATCTCAGCCCCCTGAGTGTTGCTCTTTGGAGTCTTCCCATTCAGAGCTATTCTGAACCCATTTTCTTTTTTCTTTTTTTTAAGATTTTATTTATTTATTCATGAGAGAGAGAGAGAGAGGCAGAGAGAGAGAGAAGCAGGCTCCATGCAGGGAGCCTGATGTGGGACTCAATCCCGGGTCTCCAGGATCATACCTTGGGCCGAAGGCAGGCGCCAAACCGCTGAGCTACCCAGGCGTCCCTGAACCCATTTTCAAGAGGACAGTGGGTGGCATCAAATACATTTCACATTGTTGTGCAATCATCACCACCATCCATCTCCAGAACTCTTTATCTTGTAGAACTGAAACTATACCTACCAAACACTAACTCCCCAAATCCCCCCTCCTCCCAGCCCCTGGCACCCACCATTCTACTTTCTAGGTGTATGATTATGGCTACTATAAATACCTTATATAAGTAGAACCATATGTTATTTGTCCTTTTGTGAGTAGCTGATTTCATCTAGCATACTGTCTTCAAGGTTCATCTATGTCGTAGTGTGTCAGTTTCCTGCCTTTTTTCATTTTTTATTGTGATAAGAGCACTGCACTTGAGATCTACCCTCTTAACAAATGTTTGAATGTGCAATATATTATTGTTGACTATAGGTACAGAGTTGTACAACAGATCTCTGGAGCTTACTTACCTTGCTAAACTAAAACTTTATGCCCATCCATCAGTAACTCCACACTGCCCCCCTTCCCCAACCCCTGGCAATCACCATTCTCCTCTTTGAATCTTTGAATTTGACTATTTTTGATACCTCATATAAGTAAAACATATACTAATTCTTTCTATGACTGGCTTCTTTCACTTAGCGTAATGTCTTCAAAGTTCATCCATGCTGTTGCATATTCTAGAATTTCCTTCCTTTTTAAGCCTAAATAGTATTCCATTGTATGGTTACACCACATTTTCTTTATCCATTTACCTGTCAATAAATATTTAGGTTGTTTCCATCTTGGCTGTTGTGAATAGTGCTGTAATGAGCATAGGAAGGCTAATGTCTATCTCTTCAAGATCCTGGTTTCAATTCTTTGGATATATATACCCAGGAGTAGAATTACTATATCATATGGTAGTTCTATTTTTAATTTATTCATGAGAGACACACAGAGAGAGGCAGAGACATAGAGGGAGACAGCACACTCCCCACTGAGCAGGGAGCCTGATGCAGGACTCAATCCCAGGACCCCGAGGTCCCAGGACCAGGACCTCAGCTGAAGGCAGATGCTCAACCCCTGAGCCGCCCAGGCCCTCTTTGAGGATCTTTTATACCATATTCCATGGGAGCTGTACCATTTTGCATTCCTCCCAACAGTGGGCAAGTCTTCTAATTTCTCCACATCCTCACCCACACTTACCTTTTGACTTTTTGATAACAGCCATCTTGACAGGAATGAGGTGATATCATTATGGCTTTGATTTGCCTTTCCCTAATGATTAGTGACACTGAGTATTTTTTCCTTTACCTGTTGATCATTTATATATCTTCTTTAGAGAGATGTCTATTCAAGTCCTTAGCCCATTTTTTAAACCCTTACTAGATATATGGTTTGCAGATGTTTTCTCCCATTCCACAGTTGCCAGAATTTCCTTCCTTTTCAAGGCAGAATAATATTGCATTTTGTTTATTCGTCCATTGATGGACACTTGGGTTACTTCTGCCTTTTGGCTATTGTAAATAGTGGTGCCAATGAACAAGTGTGTACAAATTTCTGTTCAAATTCCTGCTCTCAATTTCTTGGACTATATACCCAGACATGGAATTCCTTGATCCTATGGTAATTCTATGTTTCATTCTTTGAGGAACCACATGCTGTCTCCCCCAGCTGTTGCACCATCTCACAGTCCCAACAGTGGTGCTCAAGGGTTCCAGTTTCTCCACAGCCTCGTCAGCACCTGTCATTTTCTGTTTTCTGGTTTTTTTTTTTGTTTTGTTTTGTTTTTGATAATAGCCGTTCTAAAGGGTATGAGGTAGAACCTCACTTGGGTTCGATTTGCATTTCCCTAATCATTAGTGATATTGAGCATCTTTTTGCCTGCTCATTGGCCATCTGTAAAGTATATATTTTTTTGAAGAAATGTCTATAATCAGAGCTATTCTTGGTGTTCATTTTTATCTGAGGGAATATCATGTGGCAGATTTAGGCTCAGGGGGTTACCAGGGGAATCCGACACATCATTGCCTGAGCTAGTCTTGGGTACCCTGGTCCCTAAAGACAACTAAAGTATCACCAACATTCTGAACTGGCTCATAGTATATATACAGACTTTAAAATAATTTGTATATAAAAAAATAAAATAAAATAATTTGTATATAATTTGAGACAAAGTAGATTTGATTTTGTTTTTGTTTCCACAGGAGGCTGGTTTGCTGAGGATTCGGTGAGCACTGTTTGAACGGTATGGATAATGGCAGCAAAATGCGTTTTTTCTTTCACCTCTTGGATCTTCCCCTAGAGATCAAGTAGGGGAATAAGCTTAAAGGCTTCTTGCTTTTCTAGTAGTACAGGGGCTGTGGGATTGGCAACTATGCCGTTAGGATTTTAGAAGTGCAAAGAATATTCATTTTGATTTCCTGTGGCTGCTGTAACAAACGACCACGAACTTAGTGGCTTAAAACAGTGGAAATTTCCTCTCTCCCAGTTCTGGAGGCCAGAAGTCTGAAATGAGGGTGTCTGCAGGGCCATGCTCCCTCTGCAGGCTCTAAGAGGGCCTTCCTTGCCTCTCCCAGCTCCTGATGGCTCCAGGTGTTCATTGGCTCATGGCTACATCACTCCCAATGCCATCTATCCTCTCATTTTCTCATGCTTCTTCAAGTATCTGGGAAATAGAGTTAGAAGCCAGCAGTGGGTGTTTGTGAGGGTAGCACTGCCAAAATATAATCAACCCATTCTCCCCCAGTGAAGCTCCCACATCTTAATTGGGTGTGTGATAGAGAGCAGAAGGTGATCTGCATGTTCATGTACTCCTGAGTCCAGTGGATATGAGTGTCTGCTTTGGACCAGGCCCTGTGCTTCACGCCAAAATACAGTGGTAAGCAAGACAGGCAGAGCTCTGAGAGTTGTTTGCAAGTGCCCAAAAGTGCCCAAATCCTCCTTCCCCATCTGATACACATTGAGCCAAATGGGTTAAAGCTTACCAGTCATATCTGTTTAGAGTGAGCAAGTGACGGGGCCCCTTGCCAACATAAAGAGGATTATGAGATGGAGGGAGGGATGGGATAGGCCTAGAAGTACAAGTCAACTTTGCTTATTCATAATATGCATCTGAAAAGGTCCATGAAAAGTGAAGTTTTGGAATACATTTTCCTGATAACTTCCATTATGATCATTCTCTGAATGTAGCTTTTTGCAAGCAGTTACACTGTTTTCTTTGTCCCAGATTTCACCATCTCCAGATATTAGGAGATCCATGACTTAAGTACATAGACCACTATGAAGAAAACAGTTTTAAGACCAAGTATGTCTAACCCACACTTGAACGCTGCTTTTTGTTTGTGAGTCAGTATTATGGGTGAGTGAAGAGAGGAGCATATCCTAAGGGCCATTACAAAAGCTTCTCTTACAAACTGCTCTTCTGTTCAGCGTTGTGGGTCTGTGTCAGCTGATAGGCTTCACTGTCTCCCAGTTGTGAAGTGCACGGTCACCACACTACCCAGACCACCTGCTGAGGGTTTCTGATGGCCCCAGACACCAAATTCTTGCACATGTAGTTACGGTGGCTTTAATTTCACCAAGAAGAGCTCTGTCTCCTATTACACCCTTCCACTCCCAGCACCCCCTGCCCTAGTATTGTGGGGATTAGCACTTAGTCCATTTTAGTCATGGGGACACTCAGCTGCAGGAGAGACAGGACCTGAACAGATTTACCTAGTTTGCAGTGGGACTGGCACCAGAATCCAGGACTCCATAGGTGTGTCCATTTTCCCATTGTACCTCCACGATGTGATGATGATCAACACAACAGAAAGAACACGATTAGAGCATGCAAGTGCCATGGAAAAAGCTACAGTGCCACAGGTTTTCCTTCTGTGGTAAACGATGAATGAGGTCATTTGATTCGCTTCCCACTCTGCCTCTAATCCAAGTGTGAAGTGAGTTCTGGGCCCAGTTACACCCTTGCATCAGAGAGAAGCGTGTCACAGGAGCGTTAAGTGGAGGGCTTCATTTAACAGCTACAGCTATGGTTCAGCTTTTTGTCATAACTCAACGGGAATGGCAACCACACAAAAACATGAAAACCTAAAAGATATTTCAGTTTATATAACATAAATGTCTCTCTCTAAATATGTCTTTCTGAAGAGAAACCTTCATTGCAAACATAACCATATTTGGAGCTGAAATGGAACAAGCCTTTGGTGAGCCAATGAGAGACCAGGTCACACGGACACATTTGACAGAAGGCCTTCCAAATGTGAGTACGGACACAAAGAAGGTCAACCAAAACCAGATAATGGGAAAGTCAAGTGCATCTACACCAGCAAACCATTGATACTAGCTGTGGTCAAAAATTGTATTTGGCACATTTCTTACATCAGTTGACGTTGACTTTTTATATAAGATACATATATTTATTTAAGCTATCAGTTACTTGTTGTTGTGTGGCAATATCAGAGCATAATGGTTTACAACAACACCCATTTCTTTGGTCATGATTCTGTGATTCGGGCTGGGCCCAGCTTGGGGGTCCTCGGATGATCTCCCCTGCCCCACACACCTGCAGTCATGGGGACTTCCTGAGGTGTGTGTTCCACACAGCCTCACTCACATGCCTGGCAGTAACTGCTGGCTGTCAGCTAGGTGCCTCGTTTTGCCTTCATGTGGCCTCCAGGACACTAAGCTAGGCTTAGCAGAAGGCTTCCCCAGTAATCATAAGGGCAGTAGCCAGGACTCCTAAGATCTAGTGTTGCAAGTGTCAGAAAGGACTTTTCAGAAATCATCGGGCCCCCTGGAGGTTCTTTGTGGACATCTGTGGATGTTGGGCTTGATTCTTTGAGTCACATTTAATGAATGCTAACAGTGCAGAAATGAAATCACACCAAGGTCAAGTGTATTTATAGGGAATGTTAATAAATTAAAGATGCCCAGGAGGTTCCCTGGGCCACCAGATCACCCTGGTCTTGGTGCGTTATTCAGAGTAAAACCTCCTCTGTGCGTCTGTAGTTGAACATTTATGTGACAGTCTAGTTGCCCCCCAGAAAATGTAGATTTCAATGATTGTATCAGTAGAGTTCTTTCTCATCAACTGACTTCAGGAGAAGTTATAAATTTTTCTTAAATATTTTGTTTATTTATGAGACACAGAGAGAGAATGGCAGAGACATAAGCAGAGGGAGAACCAGGCTCCCCGTGGGGAGTCCGATGCAGGACTCGATCCCAGGACCCCAGGATCATACCCTGTGCTGAAAGCAGGTGCTTATAGTTTATAACTAAACTATAAATTTAGTTATAAATTTAAACTACTAAAATATAAACAACACTTTCATCTTACCTCATATGTTCTGTGTAAGACTTCTCTGAAAAGAGGCCCGCTGCTAGCGACAAAGAAAAACAGATCAGGTTAAAAGAAGCCCAGGTCTAGCCCAGCTAGACCCTTCTCTTAGCTCAAGATCATATTGCAATTAGAATCATTTGGATGGCTTTCTTTTCTATTCTTAAAACTCTCCAAGATGCTGATTTTATAACTCCCCTCAGTAACCCATTCTTGAGTCTCACCACCTGTTTTCAGTTTGGAGTTTTATTTTTACTTGTTAGTACATATTCCTTCTTGTCCGCTGTGCCCACTTCCTCTGCATCATCTTTCAGGGCCACAAAAAGCAAGTAGTTATTTCACATGATCTCTAACCATATAGTGTTACAGGTGTGATAAAAGACACTGTCCCATCACATACCTGACTTCTCTGGGGTAAATGCCAGTTAAGTTCTCATCATTAAAAAACTCTGTGTAGGGGATCCCTGGGTGGCGCAGCGGTTTGGCGCCTGCCTTTGGCCCAGGGCGTGATCCTGGAGACCCAGGATCAAGCCCCACGTCGGGCTCCCGGTGCATGGAGCCTGCTTCTCCCTCTGCCTGTGTCTCTGCCTCTCTCTCTCTCTCTCTCTCTCTCTCTCTCTCTCTCTGTGACTGTCATAAATAAATAAAAATTTAAAAAATAAAAAATAAAAAAATAAAAAACTCTGTGTAATAGCCATTGGCCTGCTTGTTCCAAGCAATATTGGTACCACATTTCAGTATAATAAAATCCACACCACTCTGTCAAAGAGAAGATTTAAGAATTGCCGGCTTTTGGGTGCCTGGGTGGCTTGTTAATTAAGCATCCAACTCTTGATTTCGGCTCAGGTCAAGATCTCAGGGTCCTGGGATCAAGCCCCGACTCGGGCTCTGCTTTCAGTGAGGACTCTGCTTGGAGATTCTCTTTCTCCCTCCCCCCTATCCTCTGGCCCTATGCTTGCACACAGGCACTCCTTGTCTCTCAAATAAATAAATCTTAAAAGGATTTCCCACATTTAAAATCATGAAATGAAATTGCACATAATAGAAAGATTATATGATTTTTTTTAAAAATTAGACTACCAAACTTTGAAACAACTGTAACTAGAGATCCCAGATAACATAAAAAAGAGAATCTGAAATCCTTTGGGATACTATCTAAACATGTCTAGTCTGAACCTCTGGATTCAGGCAAACTTTTACCAAACCATGAAAAATCAATCTGGGGAGCAGAAAGGCTTAGAGCTCTTTTTAAAAACTGCATTTGCGGATGGCTGGGTGGCTTAGTGGTTGAGTATCTGCCTTTGGCTCAGGGCGTGATCCCGAGGTCCTAGGATCAAGTCCCGCACCGGGCTCCCTGAATGGAGTCTGCTTCTCCCTCTGCCTACGTCTGTGTCTCTCATGAATAATAATAATAATAAAAACCTATTTGCCTGTACAGCTGACTTGGGGGAAAGGAGAAGGGCTAGACCAAACAAAGATCAAATGGAATTTGCAGATTTAATTTGCCTGTGTCCTGGGAAATTTCAGTCAAGGTGCAAATCATTTAGCATGGTTTGATTACATGTATTTGGGAGTAATCAAAACAAAACCTAGACAGAAATGGGTTGAAGAGATTATTTGGTGGGGGGAGTAGAATGGTGAGCCTCATTATGTCAGTAGATTATGCATGCCTGAGCAAATGATGCCAAAGCTCCAGAGCCATCTCCAGTGGCCTGGCAGACTCCAGTAAAAATGCCAGTCTAGTTGGGACACTGGGTTGGAAGGGGTGAACCTGTAGAAGGGGCCCTGGCACCTCCTGATCTCCTGCATATCTCAATTGTATAGATATTTAAGGAATAAATAGGAGGATTGCTGGTTTCTTTTCTAATCAGGAACAGAATTTCTCTAACATCTTTAGTTTCCACATTCCCAACTTTGGTTGACTGTACATAAGCTTAGGGAAAATGGGGCTTTGTTATCTTCAGGAAGCCCAGATATAGTTTTAGACCCCAGGGAGGAGGGATATCACAGGTCTCCTTTGGAGATACTTGTAGCCAGCTTATTCAGTATACAACAGACACGGTTTTGCATTTCCTCCCTGGTGTCAGAATATTGAAGTGCCTGCATCTGGTGCTCTGTCCTTCCATTATCCCCAGTTGCCAGATTTAGAATTTAGCCAAGAAAGTGCACATGTTGCAAAAGCTGAAATGCAAACACCATAGCTCTTCCCTGATGCCTCAACTTGCTCAGAGAAGGGAAAGCAAATCCCTGGGCCTGGGTGATTAATAGTTTACTGATCCTCCCCGCAACCCCTCCAGGAGAGCCCATCAGTCAGCAACAGTCTTGGATATGCTAAGGCAGGAAGGGGGTAGGTGACAAGCCTAAAGGCACACAGGCCAGCCCTCTAATGGTTGGGGAAGAAAAGAGGCCGACTTTCTCCTGAAAGTATAGAGACTTTGCTTTCTTCTTTCTGATACTTTAAATGTATATTGTCAATTGAGGGGGTGGCATGTTGTGTTGGGTTTTGTTGGGTTTCTGTTTGTTTTGCCTTAAAAATGCCCAGGGATTAGTTATTAGGAGCAAGAAAGTATCACTTTTGGGTTTTTTGCATTGACCAGTTTTGATCATTGGTGGTTTCATTTTTTCAAAGATGCCTCCAGCTCCTTTCGTTAAACATTCAGCATGCACATATCAGATCACCCAGTCCAGCCACAGTCTATTTAAGTATCATTTGCTATCTCTCTTTCCTCAACTGATCCCAGGAGAGGAGGGTGCCACTGGCAATAGAACACCAGAATTATATAAACCATCCAACTGGATGGAAGAAGAATTGCAAACAAACAGATGGACGTGCCATCATGGTGGCTCACGAAGATGTGAGTCCAGGCTCTTTTTAGCTTCCAATTCTCACGTACCACCTACCACCTCTTTCTCTCTGCAGGCCAGTAAGTGCACAGTGATCGGAGGCTCTGGATTCCTGGGGCAGCACATGGTGGAGCAGTTGCTGGCGAGAGGCTACACTGTCAATGTATTTGATATGCGGCAAGGGTTTGATAATCCTCGGGTGCAGTTCTTCCTGGGTGACCTCTGCAGCCAACAGGTAAGGGAATACTCAGCCTTGCCAATTTTCCGCAGGCCCCCAAAAGGAAACTACCAGGCTTCTGCAGCTCAGAGGTCAGCCACATTGTTTCAAAAAAATTTTTTTAATATATTTTTTATTTATTTGTGAGAGACACAGACAGAGGGAGAAGCAGGGAGCCTGACGTGGGACTCAATCCCAGGGTCCTGGGATCAGGACCCGAGCCAAAGGCAGACATCCAACTACTGAGCCACCCAGGTGCCCCTCAAAAAAAATTTTTTTTGAAGAATTTTAAAGTTACAGGAAATAATTTATACCACATTGGGTCAGTACAACTCCACTCTGCCCTGGTATTGCAAAAGTGGCCATGATCAGTACAGATATGGGTGGGCATGGCTGTGTGCCAACAGAACTTTATTTACAAAGTTGTCCACAGGCTATAATGTGCTTACTACCAGAATATTCAGTTGACCTTGGAACGACATGGGTTCGGCACAGAACCCCCTGGAGTTGAAAAGTCTGTGCATGACTTTTGATTCCCTGAAAGCTTGACTACTCATAGCCTACTGTTGACCACAAGCCTTTCTGAAAACATAAAGTCAATTAACACACATTTTGTATGTTGTATGTATTATATACTAGATCCTTATAATAAAGTCAGCTATAGAAAAGAAAATGTTATTAAGAAAGCCATAAAGAATGGAATTTAAGCAAAAACTTGAAAAAGAAAACCATAAGGAAGAGAAAATACATTCATGGTACTGTGCTGTATTTATCTAAAAACCCCATATAAAAAAAAGCCAGGTTGCAGTTCAAAGCCAGGTTGTTCAAGGGTCACCTGTATGCCCAAAAGTGCAACTGCTGGGTTTCAGGGTTTAAAGATTTTATTTATTTATTAATGAGAGATGGAGAGAGAGAGAATGAGAGAGAGAGAGAGAGAGAGAGAGAGAGAGACAGAGACAGACAGAGGGAGAAGCAGGCCCCATGAAGGGAGCCTGACATGGGACTCGATCCCGGGTCTCCGGATCACACCCTGGGCTGAAGGCGGCGCTAAACCGCTGAGCCACCCGGGCTGCCCAGGTTTTTGTTTGTTTGTTTGTTTTGTTTTGTTTTGTTTTTAATTGAGATTTGCTTCACAGTCTGTAAATGTAACATTTTAAAAATACACAATTTAGTGGTTGTTAATATATTCACAAAGTTGCATGACCATCACCTCTATCTCATTCCAGAATGTTTTTGTCATCCCAGAAGAAAATCCTAGCTCCTTTAGCAGTTGTTCCTCTTTTCATCTTCTCCCCTCCCAGCCCTTGGCAACCAGTCATTTCCTGTGTCTACGGACGGGTCTATCTGGATGTTTCATAGAAGTGGAACCATGCAGTATCTGTGGTTTTATCACTGGGTTCTTTCCCTGAGCATCATGTTTGTAAGCTTTACCTGTGTCACGGGGTATTACCATTTTGGGTTTTGTTAGACATTGCCGAATTTGCTCAGCGAAGCCGCTAGGTCAGTTGGCCATTCACGCCAGCAGTGGAGTGGGTAGGACCACCGCTGTTGTATGTCCTGGCTAGTACTCAATGCAGTTAGACTGTTCAGTGTTGCATTCCAAAGAGGGTGCAGTGGGACCTTGCTGAGGCTCAGTCACGTGCCCTCCCTATGCGGGACGCCAGGCTCAGTGCTCTCTCTCGGTCCTCTGTGAAGTGGCTGTCGGCGGCCTTTGTCCATTTGTCTGTGCCTTACCTTGTTTTTCTTACAGATTTGTAGTTCCTTTCTATCTGCAGGGCTTTATTACAGATAGCTTCCCTCAGCCCATCTGCTTTGGCATCTTTTGCCGTGGTTTTGTTACTTTGACTTTTAAGGACACAGATTCCCCCACGGGCTTTTCTCTCCCACACCACCCACACCTCTGAGCCTGGAGACAGGGTAGACATGTTCCCTGTTTGTCCTTGCCACTGCCTTGCTGCCCTAAGATCCCTCTGGCCGTGCAGGTGATGCCAGCAGGCTGGGCATACCCCAGTGCCTGCCCTTGTGACCATCACCCCCAGCCACCTGCTCCCTTTCCCGGGGGGCTTCATCTCATTTTTTAGTGATTTAGGTTCCTGGCCAAGGTCAGCCTCATCATAATTATTGATGAGTTCAGTATTCACCCACGTGACCCTGCCAGTACCCTCAGCTCACCTCTTCTTGGCCTCCTCTCACTCCTCTTGGCCTCCTAGCCTGTTGGCATCCCCTGCCCCAGAGCCTGTTCTCACTGGTAAATGTGTCCTCTCCATGTTCTCACTTGCAGGCGCACCACTCTGAGCACCACCTCCTGTCTTTCTAGTGCTGGCCCACTACTGCCTGCACTGTACCAGTTCTTAAACCACACCCAGTGGCTTTTTGCCACTGTCTCTCACCCCATTTGTGTCCTCACTGCCTTTGGGTCCATGACTGACTTGCTCCCTTGTGTGATACTTATCCCCCTTGCCCCTTTCTTCTTGTTTCCATCAGGCAGGGTTCTCCAGAGAAACAACCAGTAAGGTTGTGTGTGTGTGTGTGTGTGTGTGTGTGTGTGTGTGTGTGTGTATAGATGGAGAGGAAGAGGGAGAGAGAGGCAGAGAGAGGGAGAGGATGAGATCTGATTGAAGAAGTGGGCTTGTGTGATTGCAGGGCTGGCAAGACTGAAGTTTACAGGATAGGCCAGCAGGCTGGAGTTTCGGTCAGGAGCTGATGCTGCAGTTCCAAGGCAGGAGTTTTCCTTACAGCAACCTTGCAGTTTAATCTTAAAGGGCTTTCAAGTGATTAGAGGAAGCCCACCCAGAGTATAGAGGATAATCTCCTGGACTTAAAGTCAGCTGATTATAGACGCCAACAACAGCTCTAAGATAGCTTTACAGCAGCACCCAGACCAGTGTTCCATGGAATAACAACCCTGGAGCCTCACCAAGTGCACACCTCAACTTCTCCATCAGGCTGTGTGTCCTAGGTATAACCCCCAGCCCTGCTTAAATCGGATCCTCCCTCCTCCCTGGGAGCTTCTGGGCAGCTGAACGGGGCAGGAAAAGAAAATACAAGGGGTTTTTGCCTCTTTCGGCATGACCACGGCCTCCAAGCCGGCTCCGTGGTACCTCCTGGCACCATATCTGCAGACCTGCCTGTGACCACATCTGTGCTCTGCAGGTGCCTCATCCATGCAAATGCTCCCAGTGCCACCTAGAGCCCCTGTCTTCCTACTCAGTGATTCCGCTGGGGATTCTGGCCTTTTTCTCCCATATCAGCAATTGCACCTTCTCTACCCAGTCATAGCCAACGGCACATAGACATGTTGCAGGATCACCCATCTTAAGAAAGCAAAATGCCCTGATGTGAGGTCCCACCCCACCTATTGTCCCCTTCTCTTTGCTGTCATAGGAGGGCTCAAAGAGCCATTTGCACTTGCCACCTCTGATCACTTCATTCCATTGTCTCTCCCAAATACTCCAGCAAGGTTGTCAACAACAGCCCCAACACAGCCACCAGGGACCTGGAGGTGACCAGATCCAGTGGTCAAGCGTAGGACACTGACTTGCCCATTTCTCCTCCTGCCATTCTGTCTCTGTATCTCTATAATTTCTAAATATGGCAGGCTCCAGAGCTTACTGCTTAGATCTCTTTTCTTCTCTGAGCACACTCAGTGTCCAAGCGAACCCGCTCCAACCCCCTCCTGCCCCGCTCCCCTGGCTCACAGACAAAATACAATCTAGAGGCCGACAAGCTCCCAGCTTGAGATCTACAGTCTGTAGCTCTCCTGGATTCGTATCTGTCCAGCTGCCTGCAGGACATCTCTGTTGGGATACATAATAGACATTTTGGAATTGCCATATTCAAAATTCAGCTTCTGGTTCCCTGCTGTAAGTCCCCTCCCCCACTACAGCAAACCTACTAAAGTCCTGTCTGTCTCAATAAATGGCCCACTCTGTTCTTCCAATAGCTTTGGCCAAAAACATTAGATTTACCCTTGATTCCCTTCTCTTGTACCCTCCATCTCATTCATCAGCAGATTTTGTTGACTGCACTCTCCGAATAGATCCCCAGTTCAGCAGCTTCTTGCTCCTTCATTTGTTACTATGCTATGCTGGTCCAGGCCACCCCCTTTTAATGCATGAGTCAAATCATGACACCCCTCTGTCCATAAGCCTCCAGTGCTCCAGTTCTGTTTAGAGCAAACATACAGGCCCTTATCATCACCTTTGAGGCCCTACAGGATCTGGCCTCACCCTCACCTATATTCTCTCATTGCTCTGCTCCAGGCATGCTGGCCTCTTTACTACTCCTCAGACTCGTGAACTGACTTTCTGCCTCCAGACCTTTGTATTCACTGCTCTTTCTGCCAGGAATGCTCTTTGGAACCACAGAGATTGCTCCCTAAATGTGTTTGAGTCACTAACCAACTTATGTTAAGCGCCCCTCCAGGTCTCCTTTGTTCAATGTAGGTTTCTATATATAGCACTTGGTACTAACTGTACTCTGTATCTACTCGTTTATCTGCCCGCCGCCCCCAGAGAAAGTAAGCTCCCTGAAGGCAGGAATATTCCTTTTGATCACCACTGAGACCCCTCAAAGATGAGGCTCCTTAGCAAATTTCAACTTCCCTCCAAACTGCTCCTCCAAATCCCTACTAACTCCCGTGATACTGCTGCTAGTATTTATTTACAGATTTTTTTTAAGAAATCAGGTGAAATATTTTTAAAAAGATTTTATGTATTTATTCATGAGAGACACACACAGAGAGAGGCAGAGACATAGGCAGAGGGAGAAGCACGCTCCTCGCAGGGAGCCCAATGCAGGATTCCCTCCCGGACCCTGGGATCACAACCTGAGCCAAATGTAGACGCTCAACCACTAAGCCACCCAGACGTCCCAAATTTTTGTTTATTTTTTTTAAGGTTTTATTTATTTAAGGAAGAGAGTGAGCAAGTAAGAGAGACAGCATGAGCTGGGGAGGGGCAGAGGGAGAAACAGACTCCTCGCTGAGCAGGAAGCCCAATGCGGGGCTCGATCCCAGGACCCCAAGGTCATGAGCTGAGCCTAAGGCAGACTTAACTGACTGAGCCACCTGGGCGCACCCAATTTTTGTTTAACACAAACTTAAAGTGAGACCCACCACCCTACTGTGTCATTCTTAGGTACCAGCAGGGAGAAGGAGAGTTTGCCAGAGCAACCTGATAAAGACAGGCGTGGGCAAGGTCCAGATTGCAATGATGGATCATGAAGTCCAAGCCAAGGAGGACATGAGGAGGGTGAAGGACATGGAGAAGTGGGTTTTAGGGCAGCCTGGGTGGCTCAGTGGTTTAGCGCTTGCCTTCAGCCCAGGACATGATCCTGGAGATCCAGGATCGAGTCCCACGTCGGGCTCTTTGCATGGAGCCTGCTTCTCCCTCTGCCTGCGTCTCTGCCTCTCTCTCTGTGTCTCTCATGAATAAATAAATAAAATCTTTTTTAAAAAAAGAAGTGGGTTTGAAAGTCACTACTTAGGTTTTGTGCCATATTCGTGAATTCGTTCACCAGTACTTCTTGTTTCCCATTTCTTTCTTCCAGCTTCCTTCCTCTTCTTCCGGAAGCATTTCCTTTAGCATCCCCCACTGAATATCTGGGCACAAAACTTTCCGAGTCCTCATATGCCTAAGACTGTCTTTCTCTCACCCTCTCTCATAAATGCTTATTTGCTGGGGATGGAACTTTAGGTTCATAATTGTTCCTCCTGACGCTCCATCTGACCATCATTCGTTTGGGGGTCAGCTGGGTTTTCCTCTCATGCCTTTTAGGATTTTCTTTCTTATCCTTGTGTTCTGTAGAGAATTTGTCTAGGAGGTCTGTGTTTTTGTTTTGTGTTTAAAATCTACTCAACAACTAGTGGGCCTTTGGAACCTGAGGACTCATGCCTTTCACTTCTGGAAAATTCTTCAAGTATTGACTCTGCCTCCATTCTCTCTTTTCCTTCTTTCTGGAAGCCTTACCAGACATATGGTAGAGTCTGTCATTATAATGTATATGTCTGTTAGTTTCTCCTTCATGTGTTCTTTCACTTTCTGTCTTCATAACATTTTATAGATTTCCTCTGTTTCATATCCACTTACAGACACTCGTTTCACCCATATTCCCACCCACCCTCAGATTATTTTGAAGCTAATCCTAAACACCATTATCATTTTTTCTGCAAATATTTCAGTGTTTGTCTCCAAAAGATAAGCCTTTTTTAAAGATATATTTTTTTTATTTTAGCGCATGAGGTGGGGGAGAAGCAGAGCTAGAGGGAGAGAATCTCAAGCAGAGTCCATGCTGAGCATAGAGCCTAACGTGGGGCTTCATCTCATGACCCTGAGGTCAGACCTGAGCCAAAATCCAGAGTTGAATGCTTAACCGACAGTAGCACCCAGGTGCCCTCACCTTTATTTTTAAGATTTAAAGGAGCCTTTTTTTATTTTTTTAAACGATTTTATTTATTTGTTCATGAGACACGGAGAGAGAGAGGCAGAGACATAGGCAGAGGGAGAAGTAGGCTCCCCACGAGGAGCCCAATGCGAGACTCAATCCCAGGACCCCAGGATCACGCCCTGAGCCAAAGGCAGACACTGAACCACTGAGCCACCCAGGTGTCCCAAAGGGAGCCTTAAAAAAAAAAAAGGATTTATTTATTTATTTATTTGACAGAGAGAGCACAAGCAGGGGAAGCATGAGAGAAAGAAGCAGGTTCCCTGTTGAGCAGGGAGCCCGATGTGGGTCTCTATCCCAGGACCCTGGGATTACAACTGAGCTGAAGGCAGACGCTTTACTGACTGAGCCACCCAGGCCCCCCCGCCAAAAGGAGCCTTTTTAAAGACACAGCTCCGTGACCACACCTAAAACATACTGACAATTCCTTTATTTCCAGCCTGTGTTCAAATATCCATGAATGTCTTGTAAGTATTTTTGTGTAGATTTCTTTTCAAATAAGGAACCCAAAAGATTAAGACATTGAAATTAGTTAAACTAGGTCTCTTGTATAAAAGTTCCCCTTCACATTTTTTTGTTGAATAATGTTTATTTAAAACTGTATTTATTGTCCCATAGCATTTCCCATGGAGTGAATTTAGCAGATTGTACCCCCACGGACTTGTGTGACATGTCCCTCTGTCCTCTAGTGTTTCCTATAAGCAGGAAGACCTAGGACTGCACCTGTTCAGGAAAGCATAGTATAGAAAAAGGGACTATAGATAGCTCAGTAATAATTTTTCTATTGATTATATGTCAAAGTGATAATATTTTGGATAATACTATGTTCAACAGCATACATTACAGTTATTTTCATCTGTTTCATTTGACTTTTTTGATGTGGGTACTACTAAATTTACAATCAAGTTTGTGCCTGGACTATACTTCTAGTGGACTAAAAGCTGGATCTGATTCCAGTTCAGCTGTTTTCTCTGGGGGTACTGATAGCAATCAGCACATCTAATGCTCAGAAACCAGGGCTCCCATTCAGGACTCTGAGCAGGGGTAGCACAAGTGAGCCTGAGACATTGTCTTAGGACAAAATTAAGAAAGTGCTCAGAGGCACCTGGGTGGCTCAGCCATTAGGCATCCAACTCTTGATCTTAGCTCAGGTCTCAATCTCAGGGTCATGATTTCAGGCTTCACACTGGGCTCCACTCTGAACGTGGAGCCCACTTGAAAAAAAAAAAGAAAAGAAAGTGTTCAGAAAAAAAAAGAAAGTGTTCATATTCCAATGGGAATATGTCAAAAGGATATAGGAACGTCAAGAACCCCCACTGGCCAAATTTGGGGTATTTTAAGCCTTGCAAAAGACAATAGTAGTGGATTATAATGCATTGAATAAAGTAAGAATCCATGTGTCCAGGATGCCTGGGTGGCTCAGTAGTTGAGTATCTGCCTTTGGCTCAGGTCGTGATCCTGAGGTCCTGGGATCAAATCCCACATCAGGCTCCCTGCATGGAGCCTGCTTCTCCCTCTGCCTGTGTCTCTGCCTCTCTCTGTGTCTCTCATGAATAAATAAATTTTTAAAAATCTTAAAAGAATCCATGTGTCCACGGAAATGCTAAAAAGAAAAATTAGTATAGAAGAAGGGGAACATTACCGAGAAATGGCAACGAATAGAAGTAAAAAGAATGCTGGAATTAGGATTTAACATTTTGCAACCAATATGTTAATAAGTGTTCCAGGCAAGAATCATAATTGAATGTTCCAGATTCAAAGAGACGAAAGAGATAGGAGGACTAAGTACAATAGGATCTATGATTGGATCCTGGATCCCAATATAAAAATGCCTTTAAAGGACATTATTGGGCCATGGGGGAAATTTGTATATAGACTAATTATATAATAAGTGTCCTATCCTGTTACATTTCTTGCATGTGATCATTCTTTAGCGGTATTTGGGAGGAAGTCTTTTGTTGTTAGAAGAGTTTAGAGGCAACTAAGAGGCACATTGCAACTTATTCTTGAATGGTTTCAGGAAAAAAATCATGTGTCTGTATGCACACAAAGAAAATTAATGGCAAAATATTATCAGTGAATCTAAGCACATAATTCATGATTGTCTTTCTTTTGGTATTATTAGTCTATTGATGATCGTTCCTAGATCTTATTACCTAATGAGCGTTTTGTAAAATGGAGACACGCTGTCATTCTCTCTGTTTCTGAATTCAGTTCTTTTTTTTTTTAAACTTTTTTTTATTTATTTATGATAGTCACAGAGAGAGAGAGAGAGAGGCAGAGACACAGGCAGAGGGAGAAGCAGGCTCCAGGCACCGGAAGCCCGACGTGGGATTCGATCCCGGGTCTCCAGGATCGCGCCCCGGGCCAAAGGCAGGCGCCAAACCGCTGCGCCACCCAGGGATCCCTGAATTCAGTTCTTTGTACCTTAGGCAGATTAAATGCTTGACCATTTCCCTTTACTTATTAGTTAACAGCAGGAATTCTTACTCTTACTGATGATCAAATTGTCCCTTCTTTGGCCAGTGAGAGCCTCTTCAAGTTGACTCTTGAGTCCTTTTAACAGGACCCCAGGAGTCTAGCCTAGCTTCTTTACTTTCTGGTTTGACAAGATGTTCCTGGCTCTTCTTGTCTACTTCCTGCCCCATATCTGCAATCAGCCATTGCTCCCAGGAGCTCTGGTTCCTTTTAGCAGCAAATTAAATGTACTTGTTTTCATTCCCTTTCAGCTTGCTGTTCTGTATCTATTTTTACAGAAAGGAATACTCGTGTGTTGGCTATTTGTACTGTCTTTCATGGTGTGGGACTTTTTCATATGATTCATAATTTGTATCTCTGAGCTCATTTTCCCCAGGAGTTTTACTCCCAGGTGCCCTGAATTGCCATGCACCGCCACCCTCATGGTACACAGAGGTACAGATACTGTCTTTGTCTGGATCCCACAGGCTTCTTATGTGCTAGACCCAGTTTTTATTGGGAGCCAGTCAACGGGGAGGGGCGATTCAAGGGACAACATGGTTTCCATCCTAGGTACTTCTGTATTGTTTGAATCTTTTACAGTGAGATGTATTTTCATGTTAATTATAGAATTATAAAAGGGCAGGACACCTACATGCCACAGATTGAAGAGTGGGAATGTGAGGAGGCTGTTTACTTATCTAAAGCGGGAGTGATTTTTTTTGTCTTTGTTTGCTTTTCCAGGATCTCTACCCAGCTCTGAAAGGTGTAAGCACAGTTTTCCACTGTGCATCACCCCCACCATCCAGTAACAACAAGGAACTCTTTTATAGAGTGAATTACATTGGCACCAAGAATGTCATTGAAACTTGCAAAGAGGCTGGGGTTCAGGTAAGGGGAAAGCTGGAGTGAATGCTGTCAGGAACATGTCATGGCCCTTTCTAAGTGTGTGGGAGCCAGGGTTCTTCTTGTTCTCTTCCTGGGCCAAGCCAGGCTTGCATCCTAAAGTGTTGTGAAGATTCTAGAAACTGAATCCTAGGAGCTGCTAGGCCAGTTTGAGCTGCATCTCAATAGACCATCTAGGACCCTAAGGCTTATTATTAGTCTTTGGTTAAAGAGCCATAAAATGTCAATATTACTTTCATTTTTTTATTGTGGTTAAGTAAATGTCATAAAATTGACCATTTTAACCATTTTTTAATTAACAGTTCAGTGGCATCAAGTACATTCCGATTGCTGTGCAAACATCCCTACCATCTCCTGAACTTTCACCTTCCCAAACTGAAACTCTATCCCCATTAAGCAACAGCTCCCCACCCCTCCTCTCCAAGCCCTTGGCACCCACCATTCTCCATTCTGTTTCCATGAATCTAGAGATGTTAAAGAACTGGACTCATGGTATCTGCTTTTATATCTAGCTTCTTTCACTCAGCATGATGTCTTCTAGGTTCATCCATGTTGTAGCATGTGTCTGAATTTCCTTCTTTTTAACCACTGAATAACATTCCATTGTGTGGACACACCACATTATATCTAGCCATTCATGCATCAGTGGACTCTCGGGCGGTTTCCACTTTTGAGTATTGTGAATCATGCTGCTAGGAACCTAGGTATATAAATATCAGCTCCAGCCTGTGCTTTCAGTTCTTTGAGGTAAATACCCGGAAATGGAATTCCTGGGTCATACAGTAATTCTGTGTTTAACCTTTTAAGGAACTGCTGTACTGTTTTTCCAGCCCTTGCTTCTCTTTTCAAAGAATAAACTATTAACTTTTCACTAATAGAGACCTGTTATAACTCAGACTTGAGATATAAATCTCCACCCTATCATAGCTTGCTGCTCTGTTATAAAGCTGGGTTCTCGGGATCACCCTTATGGAGCACCCAGCATCATCAGCATTCATTCCTCACCAGCTTCGGGGCTCAGTGCCCTGGAAAGGAGGGATTATGTAATAGCGACTCCTTATGCTTTGCAAATGACAAGACACTTTGCCTCGTGGTTGTCATCTGATTTGCTCCTCCTTAGGTAATCAGGAGCTACAAATATCACTTGACAGGTGATAGAAGCAGATTTGGGAGGCTAAGTAATATCTCTTTGCTAATAAATGAAAGAAAGAGGTGGGATTCAAATCGAATTCTCTGATGTCAAATCCCAGACTCCTTAGTCTATAACGTGCTTGTGTAACTAGAGCTCTGTCAATTGCATTGCTGCTGTTTGTTAAATGGAATAGGCTAGTTATCCAGAAAAGATTCAAGAATTACATAGCACCAATATAATCTTCACACCGTTTAGGTAACATTACCAGTAGACTTGAAGTTCGTGGGTATCCATTCTCAAGGCCTTTGCTGTCCATAGGGAATCAGTGTTCTGAATTCGGGTTTATCACTGCCATTTGCTCCATGTGCAGCCAATATAAGTTATCGGTTTGCATGTGAAAAACTTTATAGAAATGGTATATTGAGTATATCTTCCTGCAACTTGCTTTTTTCTCCTCCAGCATTATGTTTTTGAGATTTATCCATCTATATGGAGATATATATATATATATATATATATATATATATATCTCCAGTATATTCACTGAGGTGGTGCAATAGCTTAGTGGGTTACAGTGGAGAAGGTGGCTCTTCATGGGGCGCCTGGGTGGCTCAGTTGGTTGAGCAACTGAGTCTTGATTTCAGCTCAGGTCATGATCTCGGGGTCATGGGATCGAGCCCCACGTCAGGCTCCACACTCAGCAGGGAGTCTGCTTGGGATTCTCCCTCTGCCTCTGCCCCTCCCCCTAGCTAGTGTTCTTTCCCTCCCTCCCTCCCTCCCTCTCTCTCTCTTTCTCTCTCTCTCAAATAAAAAAAGAAAAGAAAATGGCTTTTCCTATTATATTTAGGAAACCTTTCATAACACTGAAATCAAAAGATTGTTTAATGTGGGGTTTTTCCCCAAAGGTTTAAACTGATCTTTTGTGCATTTAAATCTTTAATCTGCCAGGTAGCAGTTAAATTTCTGTTGTTCAGCAGCATTTATTATGCGACACCCCCACCCCCCAGCCAGGGCCCCAGCCAGCCAGCACATCTCAGGTGCTGCTGCCTCCTATGGGTCTGTCTCCAGCTCTGTCCTTCCCCCACTTGGCTCCCACTTGTCCCCATGCCACCAAGCTCCTCCTTCACTGAGGAAGCCTTAGGATGAATTTCAGTACCTGCTAGGACAAATCACCCTCCAATCATGTTGTTCAGAATTTACTTGGCTATTCGTAGCCCTTTGCTCATTCACATAAATTTTAGAATCAGATTTTCGAGTTCTTGTTGGATTTGTTATTGTAGTTGCATCAGATTTAAAGGTAATTTGTGAAAGCATCAATACCTTACCACTGTTAAGTCTTTGTATCCATAAACACATAATCTCTCTCTCTTTAGTGCCTTTACTTTAGAAAGGTTTTGCACATCCTTTTGTTTTTTTTTTTAGTTTATCCCTATGTACTTAATTTTTGGTTATTGAAATAGTATCTTTCATATTACATTTTAAATTGCTAATGCAGGCACAGTTGATTTTTGCATGTTGATTTTGTCCTCACCAGTTCTGCTGAACTCTAACTGTAGTATATTCCATATGTTCATAATGTTTTCCATGTCAGCATTTCTAGCATCTGTGAATGGCGATAGTTTTATTTCTTCTTTTCAAGTTATTCCTTGTGTGTCTTAACCCACCACACTTGCTAGGACTTCTAGTAAAATGATGAATAAAAGCGGTAAAGATACGATTCGAGCTAATGGTGTTCAATGTTGGATGGGCTCCCTTTAACCAGAGGGCTAGAAGCTAGGACCCTCATAAGAAAGCATTTCCTTTCAAACAGCATGTTTCAAGTCGGCATGTGCCACATGCGCTTGTAGACATGTGCTGACCTGCCAGGGTTGGTATCAGAATCACGAGGCATCTTTTTCAGACAGGTATCTCCCTCATAGTTTGTGCACTATCCTCCCTTGGGGAATCATTCCCATACTGAGATAATACAAATAAAGGAAGTCTGTTCCACCTCTCGGTAGTGATAGGAGAGGAAAAAAAAAGTGAAATCCACTGTTTTAGAATGAAATAGAATGCATCTCAGAATCCGTGTAGCTACAAAAGATGGTGATCTGTGAATTATTTTAAGAAGGGCTGAAAAGCAAAGCCTCACAATAAATCATTTATACGGTGCCTTGCGTATGAGTGTTGCAAACAGGCACCATTTGATCTTCTTTCATGAACGAACATCGGATTGTTTTAATAAAGATCATTTCTTACTTGTATTTTTTTTAACCTTCCTTTCTCCTCTGCCAGAAACTCATTTTAACCAGCAGTGCCAGTGTCATCTTTGAGGGCGTCAACATCAAGAATGGAACTGAAGACCTGCCTTATGCCATGAAACCCATTGACTATTACACGGAGACAAAAATCTTACAGGAGAGAGTATGTACCTGAGAACTGGTTGAGTGACGAGCAAGTTCCATGAACATCTGGAGAGTTTAGATTTTTAAGAAAATCATTTACAAAGTTAGTGTTCTCAGGCTTGCCGACCTAACTTGGGAAGTAAAATTGTGGCTGAAATTCAATTTTAAAAAGAATAACTGTAGCTTAATGTGATCAGACTCGTCTCTGAGTACTGCCTAGGAACTGCCTCATTTAAACTTCACAGTGACCCCACAAAGGTGGGTACTATTATCACCACCAGGTTAGAGATGCACAGAGATTCAGTTTCTTCCTGAGGCTGTGCAACTAGCAGGTGGCTGAACCCACACAGTCTAGCTCCAGGGCCGGCACTCAACCTCTGTGCCATGCAACATTACTCAGTTGCCACAGAAATCAGAGCTGATTTATGAAGATCCCAAGTACTCCGGCAGAACTTGGACTTAACACACAAGTATTTTCATTTGAACACGCCTTCCTTGTGGCACTCTTGCCCCCTTCCCTTATTTAAATTAAACATGACAAGATCTTGCTTTATTTTAAGGAAAACTACTTGGCAAGGTACTGGTTTCCACTTGGCAGACCAACTTTGCCAGGGAGCACCTGGTTTTAACAGTAGGCTGGGTTGAGTAACGGGCACTAAGCCTTTGGACTCCAGGGTTCCAGGGACCCTGATGGCAGCTAGCTCCAGGACTAACGTCCAGGGAGAATATTACCATAAGGGCATACCCACTTGCAGACCATGGATGCTCGTTGACCACCAGCAGCTTACCTTAGCGGGGGAAGCTATGAGTCTACTTCTCCCAGGTGTTCACTGCACAGTCAAGCCCACTGAGGTTGCATTTCACAGCCAATACATATCGAACCGGAGCTCAGTGCTGGATTGGCATGAGTTCCTGAGCTGCCGGAGAGCCAGCTGTCTCCCATCTGTGTGCTATTACTCCAGGTCAGAAAGTCCCAGGAATCGTGTACAGGAAGACACAAGGGCCTCCCCAGTCCAGGCGTGGAAGCCGGGCCTTTTGTAAGCTGGAGGAGTCCTGTCTCCAGGTTCTGGCACCCTGCTCTTTGGAGCACAGAGAGCCTCACAGAGCTCCCACCTGACTTCACCCAAGAAGCACTAAGGCTTTTGCGGGTCCCTGTGTACTCTTACCTAAGGCACTGGGATTCCCACCCCTTGTGCTCGGCAGCTGCAGGTGACAGCCATGGGGCCTCACTTTCGTTTACCTTTGGGCACTCAAGTGGGAGTAAGCAAAGCCTCTAAAGGCCTGCAACAGTAACCCCCCTGGAGCCCCCTGTCAGCCACTGTTGGCACGCAACTCGCTGTTGGCTTTCAGATCTCTCAACTGGTAATAAAGTCAGTCAAGTAGCTTAAACTAACTGGGGCCAAAACGTGTACAAGAATTTTGCCACCATAGAATGGAAATCCTAGATGAGGTGATACAATAAGTCTACTTATCAAACACATACTTCCTGAAACAGTTGATGTGAGTCATCTCAGTCAGCACACAGCCCCATCCAGCTAGGAACTGTCACGGTCCCCATTTTTCCCATTAACATAATAAATCATTTGGGATGTTTTGTTACTTTTGAGGCCCAAACTGTTAGTATTCTAAGCCCTCAAGTTCTCGTTTGTCCACTGAGCCACACAGAACACATCTAAAGGCTTGTCCTGGTTCTCCCAGACCCTTTACCTTCTCGGTCTCTTCTTCCTGGCCCATTTGGGTTCATCAGAATCCCTTCCTAGGTGGTACCCCAAACTGACCAGAACAGATCAGGAGTGGTAGAAATGAGCACATGGAGCTTAAGGCAGGAGGGGTGGGAGGCTCACGGCTAACTCAGCAACTGGAACCCTCCGATCTCTTCCATGAATAGCTGCCATGGCTCATCTTCCTCTGGCTGCATTCGTGCATTCTAGTCTTTGTACCCAAGCCCAGGCCTTTCTCTTTGATCATAGTGTTGTTGTTTGTTTTTAAAGTAGGCTCCGTGCCCAATGTGGGGCTTGAATTCACAATCCTGAGATTAAGAGGCAGCCAGGCACCCTGATCACACTGGTTTTGACCCAGCTGTCCTGTTTTCAAATTTGGGTGCTTTGGGTGGGTGGGCTCCAGAAGTAGTCCCAAATGATAGCAGAGCAGAGGGCAGCCTCTGTGTCCTCTGTGAGCAGTGCTGTGGACATGCCCCTTCTGCTCTCTTATAGGCAGTCTTGGACGCCAATGACCCCAAGCGGAACTTCTTAACCATGGCCATTCGCCCTCATGGCATCTTCGGCCCAAGGGACCCCCAGTTGGTCCCCATCCTCATTGAAGCAGCCAGGAAAGGCAAGATGAAGTTCATGATTGGGTAAGTTGGCCTACAGTTGGCCTTCTCCCTGACCCCCTGACAAGGCTCGGTGTTGTTTGGTTAGGTCTTTTCTAATGGCACCTGCTCTGCTGCCCTCTGTGTTGGTGTCCTGGGGCTGCCACAACAAATGACCACAAACTGAGGGGCTTAAGACAACAGAAATTAATTCTTTCCCAGTTCCGGAGGTGAGAAGTCTGAAATCAAGGTGTTGGCAGTGGGGAGGGAGAGGTTAGTTCTTTCTGGAAAGTGAAGGAGAATCTGCTCAAGCCTTTCTCCCAGCTCTGGTAGTGTCCAGCAGTCTTTGATGTTCCTTAGCTTGTAGGTAAGTCACTCTAACCTCTGTCTCCACTCTCATGGGAGCATCCTTTCTGTGTGTCCATATCCAAATTCCCCTCTTATGAAGATACCAGCCATTGGATTTAGGGCCTAACCTATCCCAGTATGGCCTCAGCTTAACTTGTAGATCATATCTTCGGAGACCCTATTTCCAAATAAGGTCACATCCAAAAGTTCCAAGGAGACATGAATTGGGGGGTGGGGAGGACACTGTTCAGGTAGTATACCATCACATAGCCTGGAAAAATATTTGTGTCCCTGTTTGAAAGTTGAGGATACATGCTCGGGGAGTGGGGGGGAGACAGCACAGGGTCAAGGGCCAGGCCTTCAACTCTCCTTGGATCTAGGAAGGCAGGTAGAGGTGTTTGCATTCCTTCTCAAGGAAAGTGTAGATGGCAAGGCCTTTGTGGTTGGTGACAGAGTGTGTGACAGAGTGTGGCTTTTTCCCCAGTACACCTTTGCTACCTTCCTTTCTTTCTCCCCTTTTCTCTCTTTATTTTCTCCTCTATGTCTCTCCCTTGCCACCTTGCCTCCCTGCCACCCTGACTTCTTGCTTTGAGGGATTAGGAAGAGATGGTGGGAAAGTGCAAGGCCAAAGCAAGCCATTAGCCCAGAGTGTCCTAGGGGAAGTCGAAGGGCTGCTGTTCAAATAGAAGCCGAGAGCAAACATGATCCATGTTGGCCATGCCGGGATGGGGCAGGCAGGGCACTGGGCTCTCAGGCTCCTTGCTTGGCCCTTACATATCCCAGAGCCTCTGAGGGCCCCAGGAATCCTGGCCCCTGCACATGTTTAACAGTGGAACCATGCCCGGTATACCCACAGAAACGGGGAGAATTTGGTGGACTTCACCTTTGTGGAGAATGTGGTGCACGGACACATCCTGGCTGCAGAACACCTGTCCCGAGACACAGCCGTGAGTGGGAAGGTAAGGCACCTGCTTCTCCTGCCCCATGCATGTTTGCCCGTCTTCGGATTGCATGTCCCTGTGATTGGATTCATTGGCAAATTGCCTTCTTGATCCTGCATCCTGGCCGATCTGCTTTAGGATCCCATTGGTCTGAGGTTGATCCCCTGTGGTCGGGAGTGTGGTGACATTGCAGGGCTGCATCAGGACAGGCCAAGTCCAGAGCCAGTAAGCTGGGATTGACCAAGCATTCATGTAACATGACCTGGATACCCACTGTGAATGTGACTGCTCTCAGCAGGGTCCCATGCATATTTGGTGGGGGTGCGTGCTACTCATTTATTCTCCCAGTCATTCTGGAAATCTCTCCATCTCTCCCCCATTGCCCACCCATGTTCGTGCCCCTCCCCCTCCAGAGGGGTGGATATATCTCAGTCTCCCGGCATTTGGCACCTGGTAGGCAAGATGGACATGTCAGGGGAGGTGAGCTGTCATGCAGAGAGGAGGAAGCACATTAGATCCTCTCACCTCTCCTCTTGCTCATAGGGCCCCCATCTTCCTGGTTTCTCACCACTGCCTTTGGAACCCCCTCTTTGGGTCTCATTTTTCTCCTGAACCTCTGCTGTTTTCCCAGTCCTGTGATGCTTAGGGTGGTGGGGGTAGGGTGGGTGTATGGCTTTTGGTTTAGACCAAAACACAACACACTTGAGAAATGGCATGTGACCTGTTCGTTGCATCTGAAGATAAGGAGCTTTACCATGACTAACATGATCAAGTCAAATTAACCAATGTATCTTCCTGAGTGCAGTCTAAGCTTCACTTAAAAATCCTGGCTGGCCCATGGATAAAACTCACCTTTCCTGTCTGCACCTTAAGGTTGCCCATAGCTCCAGATCAAAAAAGCATCTGTGCCACTGGCTGACCTTTGCAGATTGGAGACACTGGGTGGAAGAGGCCGCTAGCTTCCCAAAATATTGGCCCCGGGCTGAACCATCACCCTGTGCCTGAGCACCAAGTTCCAAGCATCGCTTGCCCACCTCTCTAGCTGGGGAGCATTTTCTAACTTCTTGTTCTCTCTCCAGGCATTTCACATCACCAATGATGAACCCATCCCTTTCTGGACATTCCTGTCCCGCATCCTGACAGGCCTTAACTATGAGGCCCCCAAGTACCACATCCCCTACTGGGTGGCCTACTACCTGGCCCTCCTAGTGTCCCTCCTGGTGATGCTTCTCAGTCCTGTCATCCAGCTGCAGCCCACTTTCACACCAATGAGGGTCGCACTGGCCGGCACGTTCCACTATTACAGCTGTGAGAGAGCCAGAAAGGTCATGGGCTACCGGCCGCTGGTCACCATGGATGACGCCATAGAAAGGACCGTGCAGAGTTTTCACTACCTGCGGAAGGTTGAGTGATGCCACCCGGAGACTGGGCCCTCTCGGTGCATTCCCTGGCTGCTAACTCTCCCCTGTGGACCAACAAACTAACCTCCTTCAAGTGAGTTTCTTCTGAGCTTGGGTCTCCTCCTGCCAGTTAGAAGAGAGCACACCCAGCTCTTCCATGACCACAAGGGTGGAGGAAACAGCAGACATGTCTCTCATTTGTTAGATTTGATTGGAATTTCTTAAAGCAGGCAGCTTCATATTCTACTGGTTTGTGTTCTCCGTCTCTCCTTCCCCCCACCCCCACCCGTCCTCTCTCCTGGGTCACTTATCATTCCAATGTCCTTCTACATAATTGAGGAAGCTATAGGGAAAAAAATCCACTTGCTGACTGATGGTGGGAAAGTAGACTTAACTTCCATGCAAACCAGTACTAGAGAGAAGCAAGCCACAGCCTGTTCAAGGAGCCACATATTACATATACCCTAAAAGAAAAAGCAGAGGGGACACCTGGGTGTCTCAGTGGTTTAGCGACTGCCTTCAGCCCAGGGCCTGATCCTGGAGTCCCAGGATCGAGTCCCACATCAGGCTCCCTGCGTGGAGCCTGCTTCTCTCTCTGCCTGTGTCTCTCCGCCCCCCCCCCCGGGTCTCTCATGAATAAATAAATAAAATCTTTTTAAAAAAAGAAGAAAAAGATGCATGATTTGACTGCAATCTTGCAATCTTTAAGAAGAAAGAAAAAGCAGAAGTCTGAAATACATGGTGAAACTTCAAATAGATACAGAATTTAAAGCAAAAACTTTTTAAAGGCTTAAATCATTGCTGCCCCTCCCCCCACCAATCTCCAGAGGGAAGGGACTGCTGGTTGGCCACCTCCTTATAAGTTTTCCAAGTGCTCAGGTACAGCTGATGTGCCTGCCTGCATTGTTTTTTCATAAAACATTCTTTCGTAGACACCTCTCTATCAGTGGGGCCCCATGGTCCTTTTTACTTGCAAGGTGGTAGTGTGCCCAAGGGGCCCGCCTCCTCTTCTAACATGGGACGTGGGGCTGGTTGCCAGTAAAGCACTGAAAAGGTCAGAGAGAAGAGTACTCGTTATCTGCTCGTGGTTTGGCAGAAACTCCATGAGACGATGCAGGAAGGGCTATTTCTCTGCAGCTCACACTCAGAACCCTTTGGGCTTATTTCCAAAAGGCAAAGCACATAGGATTCAGTGTTCCCAGCTTTCTGGTGATGTTCTGCTTACAGAAGCCAGTTTCTTCCCAGACTAATCGAAATGTAATGTTAAAGACTTCTGTTTTCTTCTCTGCCTTTGTCCAGAAGGTGGAGAGGTAGCCGGGGACACTGGAATAAAGTGAAGGTGTTGTACAGGTCATGAGCTTTGTGTGATAGGAGCATCACGCCCACCTGGGGGGACGGTGGGCTGAGCTGAGGGGCAGGGAAGCACCAGGAGAAGTAAGACAAGTTCTTTACCCCTGAGGCACTTTGAGGAGCTCAAGATATGTTCACAAGCCCCTGTAATACCAGACAGAAGATGGTGCACAGGTTTGAGGCAACGTGGTGTAAGTTCAAGGAGGGGAGACGCAGCTTCCAGGCAAGACAGGCCTGTAGGTGGCACTTCAGGCTGAAAGGTGAGTTTCAGAGTCAGCCGTGTGTTGTCCTTCTCTGATTCCATGAACTACAGAAGTGACCAGCCTGGCTTGGGGTGGGCGGCGTGGAGCAGTGGGACGTTGGGTTGGCTGAAGAGATTAGCAGGGCTGAGGATGCCAAGCCAAGAGGGCTACACTGTATCCAGTAGGCGTGGGAAACCAGTGACACTTCACGTGGTGGCGGGCAAAAATCGAGAAACTCCTTGTCGCCACCCTGTGTGGAGCCTCGGAGATCAGGTAGGAAGTGACAAAAGTCTGGGCACTGATGCAGCCATGGAAGTACAAATGAAGCCTTAGTGGAAGCGCATGGGAAGGATTCAGAGCTCGCTGCTTGATTTCCTGCGAGGAGTGGGAGGGAAGAGGAGGCCAGGGCGTAGGACCCGTAGACTCTACCTTCAGAGCTGCTAGGAGGAGAGTCTCTGGCCTAGAAGAGTGCCTGGCAGACCAGAGGACCCTCGGCTTTGTCCTTCCAGCTTGCTTGGCAAAAGCTGTCCCTCATGGAACTCCACACTGTCCAACCCATTCGTATCTTCTACTTCCTCAGGGAACCTCTTGCCTGCTCACTTGTCTTGTTCACCTGTTCTTTCTACACGTTTCTTGGGCACCGCCTAGGCTTCGGTGGTGAATAAAACAGGCACAGCCTGGAGCTGATATTGCAGTGGAACCACCCTCCCCACCACAGATGGCTTTTATGGCTGCTCCTTGCTCTGCCCTGCATGCCTGACTCAGACCTCTGTCACCCCCATCTGTTTGGAGAAAGTCGGACTGCCCAGAAAGCGTAGGGCATAGCCTCCGCAACCCCCTGGGAGCTCGTTAGAAATGATGGGGCCCCACCTCAGACCTACCGAGTGGAGACCCAGTGGCCCTGCCAGTCTGTTTACAGGTCCCACCCGTGGTTCCAAACCACCGAAGCAGACTCCCGCCAGGTCACCAAGTCCAGCTGGAACCTTGCCTCAGCCATGGCAAGGCTGAACTTGTCCTGCTCACCAGCCTAAGTCCCCAGGCCATGGCAACCCCTCCCTTTTCTGATGGCTGATAACCTTGCAACACGCTTCCCTAAATGACATCCTGGAGAACTGACTTAAGCCTGCACCTCCCCATGGCACATCCATCTGTAGCATCAGGCTGGAGGGAAGGCAGTTCTCTGCCAGCTGAGGACAGCTGCAAGTCCATGTCCAGTTCTGCATGTTCGTTGAGTCTCTCACTTCAGTCCCTCTTCCTTCCGCGTTGATACTGACCCAGTTCGCCCCCTGGCCCTAACTGCACCTGGGCCAGGTGTACCGAAGCAGCCAAGCTGATCTGTCTGCCTCCCCTGATCCAGCTTGTATGTATCTCCAGGTTGTCCTTCCTATAAGAGACCTAGATCGGTCCCTCCTCTGTCAAAAACACTTCAGCGAGCCCCAACTTTCTCTTAAACATCTTCTGCAGCCACTTTATCATGACCTGTTCTCAGTCCACCTTTCCAGCTTGTTCCACTAGGCTTCACTTCCTGTGCACCAGCCAAACTGCTCGTGCCCTGTCAGACATCCCCTTACTCAGGTTGCCCTGGCTGCCCTCCGTGTCCTCTCCCTGTTATGTCCCCACATCCAGAATGGCCAGATCCCTTTCCTCACAAAAGCCTAGTCTGATCTTCCCAATTGGAAATCATCTACTTGCTCTGGGCTCCCAGCCTATAGTTCTCAATCTCTGCTTTGTTTAGTGTGTTCCCTCAGTGCATCCACCCCCAGCAGGCCAGGAGCTCCCTGAGGGTAGAGCCAACCAATGTCCCTGCAGAGTGGGTGCTCAAGAAATGTGGGTAACCGCCTGCCTGGCCTGAAATCCTAGAGTAACAGCAGCAACAATGAGACTGGCTGGAGCAGACGTTCCAGGGCTGGCTTTCAGGCATGAAATTGGCAGGTCTGTGAACCTCATGAATTGGACACTGCCTTGGGGGCATCCATGAGTGTGTGTGTCTTTTTTTGGGAGAGGGCACAGAGCTGTGATTAGCTTCTCACAGATGACTGCGGCCCAATACAAAATGCAAGCGGGTGGGGTGGGTGCCAGCAGCTGTAGGGAAGCCTGCTTTGGAGGAAGGGTCCAACAGAAACAAGCTGAGGGGAAGGGCCAGAGTGGGGATCCCAGGCTTCATTAGCATCAGCTAAGTTCCTCATGGCTCCTTAGCTGCATTCGCATCTGCACAGCTCACCTCAGGGTATCTGGTCCTGCTGGGCCGGCAGCTCCTTTTCTTTCAAACCTCATCCCCAACATCATTTACTCCTCACAGCTTCCCCCCCCCCCCGCCTCCCTCCATCTCTCTCTTCTGGCTTCCTACAGAGCCCAGCCTGCATTGCCATCAGTCATTGGCTTAGCTGTCCAGTTTTCCAACAAGCTACTACATTCCTGAGGGCCAAAGGCTTTTGATTTGTTTCTCTGCCCAATAAGTGTGACCAGAATGAAAGGGCATGAAGAGGACAAAGCTACTAACACCCACATTGACCAGCTGGGGGAGCCCCAGAGAAAAGCCGCCATGGCGCCAAGGGCACTCAGGCAATTAGCGGAGCCCGGGCTAAACCACAAGCTCCCGATCCCCTAGGCCAGTACACCCCACATTACCCATCTAGATTCAGGCGGCTAACACGGCAAAGGTGCCCTGATCTGAGGCTTTGCAACCTCAAGGGGTGAAAGGGCACAAATAAGATCTAGGAAGTGAGACAAACAGAGGCATGTGGAGAGACGCTAGAACTTTCCATCAACAGCATACACCTCTTCTCCTCAGCATCAATTATGGAAGACTCCAAATGATAGTGGACCCCATTAGAGCCTTCCCTTAGCCCGGTCTTTCTTTCACCCACTCAGCCCCAGGAGATGTGTTTGCATTATTAGCCCCTTCAGCCCAGAAAACTTCCCTAAGTGACCTGGGTAGGAGAAAAAAGGAGGGAAGAATGTGAAAGCTTCCCAGCCTTTGCTCTGTACTGCAAGTCTTGTGAGACACCTTCTCTGGTAGGTACTAGGAGACACACACACACACACCACTGGCTTTGTTCTCTGTGAGGACCATTAATTCAGAAAATATGAACTGAGCACCTGCTAAGTCCAGAGGGATGCAGAAGTGTCCGAGACAGAGCGCTTCCCCTTCCGAGAGTCCCACAGAGAAAGTAATAACCCAAGTGGTCTTTGCCTTAAGAGCAAAGGTCCACAATGTGTGAACTTGGGATCAAATCCTGTTTGCCTGTGCTTTGGTCAGTAAAATGTGACTGGCACACAGCCACGTCCATTGGTTTACATAGCATCTATGGCTGCATCCATGCTACCATTGCAGAGTTGACCACGTATGACAGATCATGTAACCCACAGAGTCTAAAATAGTTCCTACCCTCCGCCTTGCAGAAAAAGTTTGCCAACCTCTGCTAAAGAGTGACTGCTAGGCCAACAGGGACAGGAAAGGATGCTCAGCGTCACTCATCCTCGGGGAAATTGACATCAAAACCACAATAAGAGATTATCTCACACCCATGAGGTTGGCTACTCTCAAAAAATAAATGGATCAATCAAACAGGGCGAGTCCAATGTGGGTCACAGAGCTTGGACTCGATTGCCATCTGAAGAGAGACGTGGTGGCGTGTGTGTTTGGATGGTGGGAAGAGCGCAGGGACAGGGGGCAGAGGGAGGCTTGTGGCCCCACCTCCGTCTTCAGAGTACATCATTCCAACCTCCACTTCCATCAACACAGCTCAAGAGGTGGGCATCTTGGGGAGCAATTCTTCAGTCTACCACAGTGGCTAACAAGGTACATGAGATCTAGAAAAGCACCCCTCTGGGCTTTTCAGCAGGGTAGGAGTTTCCTGGTCCTCCAAGGTTGGCCTAGCAAAAGCAGACAAGTATGAGGTTCTATCCAAATCCAAGTGCAAGTTCAGGAGTCGACTAAGACATTGTCCAGATACAGCCCTGTCTGAGGCCTACATGGAAGGTCCTGAGGCCTGGGTACAAGGCAGGCCTCCAGCTGGGAGGGAGCCAAAGGACAGGCAAGTCCCAACAGGCTCAACAGCTGTGAATCTAGGG